GACCTGACCTGTGACGTCATCGGTTTGACCTAGGTCAATAACATTGGGTCACAAGGTAGTTCCCTGATGGGGCTATCCAACACCGTTTGCCGCTTGTCGCTAGGTTGCGTGTTCTCGAGGTCTTAGGGGGGGGGGCAAATTGCCCCCCCCCCCCCAACAGGGCGCGTTGCTCGGCAGTCTGAGCCCAACGCGCGGGTCAACACATCTTCCATAAAAGTCAGTGTCAATTACCTATGAAATACACTAGCAAATACGTGATGCATGATAATTCAGCAAATGCATAAGTAGGCTTAGCACAAGCAATCCACTTACAATAAGCAGTGCACATTTGTTTTGTTCATGAAATCGCTCCAAATATTCTCATTCATATACTTTCTGTTTCGTCAATGTCCACTCGCATGAAATACATCTCAACGCGTACCTGTTTATGAAAGGGTCAAAACCTCCCAGATATAGCTACGGCCTACGGTGCGCCACAATACACAGTTTACGAGTGCTCAACAAGTGCTGCCGTGTCACGTTTCTCCCTCCGTTGATGTTATGATGTACAGCGAGCTCATCGCCTATTCAGCGAGACACGCGGTGCTTTCCGTCACATCAGACACGTCAGCGTTACGTAACGTCAGCCACACGTCAGACGCAGCGTGATGCTACCGTCATCGTGTCCAGTGACACATACGGTATGCTGAATGGGGGTCACTTCCGACCGTGACTTCAACTGGTTTGTTTTTGTCTCACCTCTGACTCTGTTGTGTTTGTGACGCTGTGTCCTGTTGTTCACGTCATGTTCTGAATGCTAATCGTACTGTTTATGCCTAGGTATTCATGGAAATGCTCCATGGTAGACGGTACCTATAGCATCATTGCAGCATGCGTAATGCCAATGTGAAATGTTCATGTTTGCCATTTGAAGGTGAGATGCTAGGCATTTGCAGCATACCTACTATATGCGAGTTTGATTTCATTTACACATGCAAATTAACTCAACGGTACCATTCAGATAATTCTTGTGAGTCGTTCTTCATGTCACTGCCACTATTGTCAAGCTCCGAGCCATCAACCATGCCTTTTTGACTGTGTATACAGCATCGTGCTAATTAATAATACAAATGATTGCTGATGTGGGCAGGCCGCTCGTGGCGGCTGCGTTTCTCAGACCGACTATCGTGAAGGTCATGGCCCGTGCCGGGCCATCCACCGGGCCATCCAGTGGCGCGGGAACCGGGGGGGCTAGGGGGGGCTGAGCCCCTCCAACTTTTCGGCTGGGGGGGCTCGTAATGTATTTGAGCCCCCCCAGCTGGAGGAATCGAAATCGGAAATCTACCAACACAATTTCATAGATTCATACATACACTGAAAACCAAAACGATTCTCTATTCCCTTTGATCATGGTGTGTCATGCTCCTATAACTCTGCCGTTTTCCTGGCGGAATGCCCTTAAGATACTCAAATGATTCCTCAAATGATTCCTTTTAAGCATATCAGGGGTTTTGGTCTAAAACAACACCCTGATCATTTTCTTCGAACATACCCAAACTATACCCTCATTCTTTAAATTCCTCCCTTGAATTCTTCTAATATACCCTAGTGTACAGTCTCTGCCGCTACTGTCAGATACCGTACCTGTGCCGCTCGGCGCCTCCGGCGGTGACCGGTCGGCGGGCCGGGACTGGCCGGCCGGGCGGGCGAGGAGGACGGGCAGTCGCTCCCTGGACGTGTTGCTGACCACTAACCCGCGCCCCGCTGGGCTATTCAGCCATTCTTCTAGATCTTTCAAAATGTTTTGATGTCGTGCCTCACCAAAAACTCCTAGATAAACTTAGCCTGTACGGGATAGACACGGAATGGTTTAACAACTATTTGACGGGTCACGTGCAGCAGGTTACCGTACGAGGTGCTGACGGTTCCAGCATAACGTCCCGACCCAGAGAAAACAAAATCGGAGTTTTTCAAGGCGGGAGCCTTAGTTGTGTGTTATTCATGCTGTTCGCCAATGACCTGAGCCTACATTTGCCCGATGGCGTCACCATTGTTCAATTTGCAGATGACACGCAAATTTTGGTCACCGGTAAGAAACGGGATCTGGCTACTATCATCTCACTCATGGAGACTGCCCTCGATAACGCTTACCAGTGGTTTTGTCACAACGGAATGAAAGTAAACACTGCCAAAACGCAGATGTTAGTTTTGGGCACCCCAGCTATGTTAAGGGGCCTCCCAACTGTCACCGTTAACTTCTGCGGCTCTGTGGTGGGCGATGCCGGGACTGTGAAAAACTTAGGAATTCAACTCGACCGTCATCTGAGTTACCAGGCACACATTGACGCCATGACTTCAAAATGCACCGGTATACTCATCGCCCTCGCCCACGCACGTCACGTGATGCCATCCAGCACACTGAGGTTTGTAGTGCAGGCCCTGGTTCTTTCCATTGTGCGGTACTGCATGAGTGTGTACGGGACGTGTGGTGTGACACAGATGACTCGCGTACAGAAAATCATCAACTTTTGTGCGCGGGTCGTCAGCGGTCGCAGACGCAGTGACCACATCTCCGATGTCATCGAGCGGTTCGGCTGGCTGCGAGCTGATGAGTTAGCCGAGTACCACACTATCTGCGCAGTCCAGCGAGCTATCACCACGAGAACTCCTGAATATATCAGTCAAACCATCGGTCCATTAGCCCGCGACCTACATGACCACAACACAAGGCACGCCGGCAGATTGACACAACCACGACCCCGAACCGAGACGGGGAGGCGCCGACTGTGTATCAGGGGGGTCTCGATGTTCAACGACATGAACTTGGATCCGTATTTGCCATCGTTCCGTCGAGAGGCAAAAAACGCGATTCTTACCAGACGTCACTGAGGTGATATTGGTGTGAATGTCGTGTGCGTGATTTGTGTGTGCTATGATGATGCCATACCATGTCTACTTACCCTATGTTTTATCGGTTTTATCTGCTTTACGTGTCAGGTGAAAAGCCACTTTTTGCTGTGGACCCTCGATGAATACATATCTGAATCTCATACGCGCCCTGCTGGGGATAGAACCTTAACCCTCGTTTTGGATGTGTTACGATATATAAAGGGAAATCGGACGAGGGAGCTGAGAGTAATGAGACAGTTTCTGAGCAAGTTCTACGACGAATATACCTAGGGCATTATTATTTTCCCTTCTGGGTTTATGTGGGGTCTAATGCAAGAATACATTGAGATCAGTGATGGAAATCACAGAATAATACGGGAGTGTTACGTGGTATAATGCGAGTATAGTTTGCAAAATATTCCCCTTATACGCTTAGAAGGAATACTAGAGGTTTCGATGTAAGGGTATTTTGGTAGGTTAAAAGGAGTGTACTGTGGGTATCGCAGGGAATAGAACAGGAATCATATTCCTTTCCTCTTCGGTACTTGCTAGGGTATATTAGAAGAATTCAAGGGAGCTATTTAAAGAACAAGGGTATAGTTTGGGTATATTCGAAGAAATGATCAGGGTGTTGTTTTAGACCAAAACCCCTAATATGCTCAAAAGGAATCAAAAAGGTTCTCAGTATAGGGTATATTAGAAGAATTTCAGAGTGATATTCAAAGAAAGTGTATTTGGGGTATATTCGGAGAAATGATCAGGGTGTTGTTTTAGACCAATTCCCCTAATATGCTTAAAAGGAATCAAAACAGCTCTCAGTGTAGGCGCGGGAACCGGGGGAGAGGGCAGTGGGGGAAGCTTGCCCTCACAACTCTGGGGCCGTGGGGGCGGTGCCTCACAACTTTTCATGAGGCCAGGAACCGTTGGGGCAGCTTGTCCTCCCTCCCCAAATTAGGGGTTGTGAGTCACAAAGGAAGAAAGCATGTGAGTGAAAAATCTACCTATTTTACTGACTCGGCAACTCATTTGGCAGCTTAAAACCTTTATTCCAGGTTTCCAAAACGGTAGTTTCTTCACTCAGCTGAGACGGAATACCTCACTTTTTTGCAAATATTTTCTTCTTTTTTTTCGTTGAAAAGGTCAAAGTCTGAAAAATAAGTGGCCTAAAACCGATGAGAAAACTAGATTTGGGGGTACCCTAGGTCGATCTCCATGATGGTTCAGCCCCCCCAGTCTGGAAGAAGTTCCCGCGCCACTGGGGCCATCCACCGATGCGCGTGTTACCCCGCGTGTTTATCAACTGCCATCAGCCCGGAGGGACAGCTGGACAGATTTCCCATTCTGATTTTCCTGGGCCACACATTCCAGCAATCTGTGCAGAGGCCCCAGACCAACGCATGGAAGCACAGCTCTGGATTTGGGGCTATCCCGGGGCTAACCCAGCTTTTGTTTATTACGCAGATGCATTGTGGGTTCTGGGTATGCTCCAGCTGCACTGAGTCCTCTGTGAAAAGACAGTTGGCGGCCGGGCTGTGTGTCGGCTGCATCACGCCCGTACTGAGCTGCGCACTGTGAACTGACGCTGCGGGTTGCGGATGCGGATAATGGTGCGGGACTGACGCATCCGGAAGGCATTGAAACGGGTGTGTTATTGCTTTAGTGAGACAGTTACCGCGAAAGGACGCCGGTTGACTCGTGAAAAACGGCACGATGTGCACTGTGCAAGCCGCGAAGGCGATGTATTGTGTTTGGATATAAGTAAGAGTGCAGTGTATGCATTTTGCAGTGCTATTATTTACGTAGTTTTGGACGTTTACCTTCAATATATGCATGATCAATGCGACTGTCTTCTATTTGTAGGTGAAAAAGCCTATTTGCCAAGCAGTAGACGGGGGCAGGAGGCCTGGCAATGAGCATTGAACTGAATGGTTTTCAGTTTGATAGGATGATATGTTAAATGAGACTGAGAATATATGATAAGACAATGACGGTCTTGTTAAACACACCTACCGATTGATGTTCTGGTGCGTTGCATCGAAAAAATGTTACTCTCGCTGATCCGTCGTAAGTAATGCCTAAGCAAACAACACTGTTCTTACCTCAAAGAAAATATTGTTAAATTCAACAATGAATGTGGTTCTATGCATAGCGTGTATTACTAAAACAACATTTTCAGATAGTGCCACCGACCTCAAAATGTGACAATGTCTAAACTACCTAAAAGTCGACGCCAGAGCGAGATGTAATCGATTCTAACCAGCGTTACGACCGAGGAAGCCCGCTAGCGACGATCTAAGTGAATACAGGCCGCTATAACCACCTCATCGTACGCCAGCTCTGACGTTAATCCCAACACCAACATCAAACATGACCTGAAGCACGGTCGTGAACGAGCAAAGTCGACGTAAACAGGGAACGGCGTATCTAGCGCCATCTAGCACTATCGACCTTAGCTTAACGACTTGCCAATAGATGTCGCGCAGGTTCTCAGCAGACTGCACCGAGCCTCGGGAGGGCGAGCGGTGTAGCTCGAGCACCTCTGAGTGCTGCTGTATCGACTGAGGGCTAGTCGAAGAGGTAGACCTGGTCGAAGACGGAGTCGGTGTCCCCAGAGTACACCGGGGAGTACTGGTAGATTAGGTCAGCCTTCTCCTGCTCCACGCTCTGGTAACGGTGTGTGTTCTTGCGAACTGAAAACGGCGGAGAGCGATGTTGAGAGCGGACGCTGTCTCAAGGATATGGGACATTGTATGAAATGATAGACCGAAACCACATGTTTATCAAAGAAATGTGAAACATTCGCCATGAAGAACGAACATACATAAAGGAACGGAAGCGATAAGCAATGCGTAATTAATTAATCTAAATACGCTAAATATACCTACCTAAATATTTTTTTTTTAGCTTAAGCGCAACTACCTACCCTCGTCGATGAAGAAGTTGGCCAGGTATTGGGACGCCTGAATGGCCTCCTTCCAGTGCGGGATGGCGTCTATGTTATCCTTTTCTCCCCACTCGAAGATGTTCTTCTCCGGATGGAACTGGACACCGTAGATGGGGCGACTGCAATGAGGGGTGAGGCAATATCAGAAACTGAGCTTACCTATCTACTTGTGTGGTTTGCAGAGATGAACGCATTGGTAATGCCAGATGTTGACATCTATAGGTAAGATGTTGTTGAGCCACCCCACTCCTCTCTCTCTCTCTCTCTCTCTCTCTCTCTCTCTCTCTCTCTCTCTCTCTCTCTCTCTCTCTCTCTCTCTCTCTCTCTCTCTCTCTCTCTCTCTCTCTCTCTCTCTCTCTCTCTCTCTCTCTCTCTCTCCCTCTCCCTTTCCCTCTCCCCCTCTCCCTTTCCCTCTCCCCTCCCTCCCTCCCTCCCTCCTTCCCTCTCTCCTCTCTCTCTCCCTCTCCCGCCCCCGCCGCGTTAGCTCACGTCCTGTGCTCGAAGGCGCTGACGAACTCCTGCCCGTTCCAGTCGCGGTTGGTGGCGATCAGTCGGTAGTCGGACGCCAGCGAGCTCCGATATGTCTCCGGCGACACGCAGTACTTGTGGAAGTTGACGGTGACGTTCTGTGTGGAGAAGATGTCCAGCAACTGCTGACTGGCTCCGGAGAACATGCGGCTACTGGTGCCGTCTGTAGAAGTGATGGAGTCGGGACGGGTGGACAGAGTTCAATGTAAAGGGTTGGCTGGGTATTAGAGCAATGATCTCTAAAAGCAGCGAAATGTGAAGGACAATGTTTAATAGCGGTTTACGATGTTAGTACCAAATCAAGTCAAAGTTTCATATAACAGCATATATGCTGTTACTCTACGCCATAATACATAATTCGCAAATGCAACTGTAAATATATCAAACTGAGCAGTGGCACATGTCGGAGTTCGGACCCCACTACCCCGTAACGTTAAGGACTGTCGCTCGGCACAGTACATAGTGACGGTTTATTTGAGCCAGCCGTTACGGTGTCTGTGACAGATGCGTGACACCCCAGTCCCCGCCCTCCGCTGAACCGAGGAGCGAAACCGTCACGGTAGGATTATACGGTACAAACGCTCCGGTTGTGTAAATAGAGCAGCAAATGGGTCTTAAGGCCAGTTATCGGCTGGTCTGGTGCTAAGAGGGGTTTATGCTTCATGTCGCATTTTTGCTAACAATAGTGGAGGGTTGGATTCATACCTCCATGTCTTGCTTAGTTTCACGCATGAGACTAATCGCTGATTATGAGCTATTTGTAAGTGCATGGACAAACTGTGCAATATGGGAAAAGGAAAGAACAAAAACATAGGGCATGCGCATCATTTTGAACATTGGCCTGGGCTGACAACGCCGTCAAACGGTGCGGGATTTACGCTAACCGGGAGTGAAGTCGAGGGGCAGCGCCTGGTTGCTGGACGAACAGTCGGCCAGGTGCCGTCCGTCCAGCTCCAGATAGGTGAGCAGCTCGAACCCCAGACAGGTGCCCCAGATCGGGAACACGTCCTGCAGACGGACACGGGAGCAGTGAGCTGAGCTGACAGTTGGATAAAATGAGCAAAGGAAATACGAACACTAGACATTAGGGATGACCGAGATTTTCGAATTTGCAATTTCGGTTCGGCTCACCTTTTTCCGATGTAAAATTGAATTTTAGGGTGGGATGTCCTCTTGCAATTTTTTGATAAAAACACTCCTTTCGTAGTAAATTTGCACATTTGTATTTAACCCTCGCCGGACCTATTGGTTTTCTATACGCGCCCCGGCCGAAAATGAGAGGTTGGTACAACCCCCCTCGCCGTTTCGCCCCTAATTGAGCTAGAGCCTTGGGGAAAGAACGAGCGTGTACGCTGGTACGAGACGCAGCGATTGGTACCCGATTTTAAGGCCTGAGATTATCTGGTGACCTCTGAGGTCAGGTCAAGTGGCGCAAGACCGGTTCGGGTTTTGGTGAATAACTTCGCTCAAAATGGTCGCAGAGCCGCGATTTTGTCAGCATCGTGTTTTGCTATATCAGGCGCGTCGAATGGTATACTTTTTGTTCGGGTGAGAGTAAGTTAGGGTGTTGACCTCAGGTCAAGGTCAGGTCAGGTCCCCTCAGGTCACGACCTTGATCAAAAGAGGTTATGTTGCATATCATTCGATTCGGCAGGTCTTCCTGAGTCCATTCGTGACTTTTGCGACTCGCTTACTCAATTTGATCGGGAGTTATTGACGAAAAACTCATATACCTTAAGCCTATTTGATACTCTTTATTTGGCTCATCACAAAACAGGATGGAATGACGGCAGGTGGTGATATTACGCAGTTTGTTCAGCATTTGCATAACCTTTTCCTCTCAGTTTGTTTCGCCCGTTCTACAGCAACTTCTTCGACTCTTCTCCAAAGCTTCTCCACTTTCACCGTGAGACTCTTCCCCTAGATGATCACTGGACTGCAGGGCTGAATCTTGCATTGTATTTCAGTCACTGCGCTAGGATAAGAGGAACCAGCTCCTTCACGATGTCTCTCACATCGATTTTCTTTCTCGCTCTTTCTTTTTCGATCATCAGCTGTTCCTGAATCAAAACTTCTCTTTGCAAAACAGCTCTTACGGCTGGTACCTAACTACTTCATTCTGGATGCCGCCAGATGCCTTCCTGATGGTTCGTTTGGCCTAAGCATCCATCTACGTCTAGCTTTGGGCTATCTGCTTGAATTATGGGCCCCGATGGAATATAAAAAGGCATCAGAAATCGCGGAACTCTATCACTGGACTCGGATGAATGGAAACCGCCAAATCGCTAAACCTACTGATCCCATTGACATGTTTAATGTTTAATTGTTCAGCTATATTCCTTCAGTGCACTTCGATGGTGATTGTTTGGTAGACAATGGCAAACAAATTTGAATAAAATTGATTTAAATGATTTGTATCAGCTGAGAAGTCAATTGCATATTTTGATAGAGTTCTTTCAACAGATTTGGGTACTAACCTTAACACCAGCATTGACATATGCCTTTTCACTACATGTTACCTACTAGTAGGAAAAATTATTCAAGAGCATAGTTATTAGCTTGCATCCAACGAATTGATATCGTTTATGTGTAGGTACAGTCCACAGCAGAAGTAATGTGGGGTTTCAGTCATGGGTATGTTCTGCTTCTGAAGCTTAGGAACGATTAGCCAGACTACAATGAAACTTTGAATGTAGCTTATATGTATCGTCACCCTTGCAGCTGCAACTTTTGCTATTGACATCTTCTTTTCGATCAGTCCGCATTAAACAATCGTCAGTCAAAGCCAACCGTTGAGATTGGTAAAACCCTACATTACTTTAGCGGTGGGCTGTACCTGTCAGGGGGGCGACACGGCTATTCGCGCAATGTATTAATTTATGGGCCGCGCGGGGCCTCGCGATGACGCGGCTGGAGGCAACTGCTCAGCGCGCTATGGATACTTCTGGCGGGGCGGGGCGCTGAACGGTGTGCAATGAATGGGTTATGGTCGGGCCGACAGAGATGAGGTATTGAATTTGAATTGACATCAGCAATCGGGTGGGGAAGGAGAACGTTCCTAATCGAGCTTGGGTTGGGGAAAGCCGAAAATATCGCGATCGGCTCATAGCTCAAACAGGGCCGGGTGCCGTACCATGTGTTGTATACATATTTAGGCGGGCAGACAGAGATGAGTTATTGGATTTAAATTCACCTTACCATCGGTTTCTGGTGGGGTTTGAAAATGGTTTTAGTCAAGCTCGGAGTGGGGCAACCCACTGGCGGATCCAGGGGAAGGCATTTGGGGCAAATGTCTTCCCCCACATTGGCAGCGCCCGAAATCGCTTTTCGAGAATAAAGAAAACTTCACAACTTTTCTGAGGAAATGTTGGTTAATCACACTGCACAGCAGTGCGCAAGGAATCGAAATCAGAGTTTTTTTAAATTAATTCCGAGAAACCTTTTTGGGGTAAGCCCCCGCAGTGTCCAAGACCGCTTCCTGGATCCGCCAGTTGTGAATAAGTCACGGTCGATACCGAGCTTCGGCGGGACCAGGCGCTGTATACGTTGTTCTTTCAATGAAGAGGTGGACAGACACCTAGCCCCACATCCTACTGCTATGCCCGTGCTTCTGTGGGTGAAGCACTAAAGCATCACGGAATCCCACAGGACCTGCGAGTCGACGAAGTGGGCCGCTTTGGCCGCCGGGTACTGCAGCTCCCTGGAGTTGCCTGGGACCGATGGCAAAACAACAGCTCCGGCGGTGCCCCTATGGGCCGTAGTAATTAGCGAATTCCTGTAATGTAGAGATCATATCCTCAATAATCTCCATTACCATTTTATATTCCTAAACAGTATGACAGAACAATTATGCTTGCCTACGTTCAGGCATTACCTCTGATGGTCATACGTCCAGTACAACATGTGTTGTCTGTCAAACAACAATCGACGACGGGATCTCTTCTCATTATCTCTTAAGCCATCGGTTGTCAATTCACCCACCCCGTTTCCCTAAAAATAGACGGTCAGATTCGGCCTGGGTCCTTACGACCCCTCTAGATTCGCCAGAGACGGGATCGGATCGCCGTTATTGCACCCGTCTTAGTGTCTTTAATACTATGACAGCTTCGACCACGGACTTCGGACGGGGTGATCGTTCCACGAATGTACGAACCATCCAGGCCTAGAGTGCATCGAGGTTTAAAAGAATGCAGTCTGTAGATCAATAAACATAACAATGGTGGTATACAACCACATTAAAATATCTCCCCGGCTCCCGCAACGTTCCAACGCCCCTCCGTTATGCATTCGCCTTGTGTGTCCGCCGAGCCGGCTTGCCTCCAATGACGTCATCGGCCGGCCGGCGGCGTTCAAGGTCAAACGGCTGGTGTCCTTACCTGGAGTTCTATAGCCTTGGTACCTGTAACGATATGTGTGAACAACCAATCAGTGCCGTTGTATTGTTCCTGCCGAGGGAGAGGCTTTAGCCGCCAATGGCTCTGGCAGGATTCAGCAATTCTGGAAGAACCTTCTGAGGCCTGTTTCACTAACAAATAAAGTGTGTAATTACAAAGAAAAAACTTGAGTTTAAAAGAAATAATTACCAACATTTGAAATTTGGATTTCACGAAACCTTCGGGCATGAATTTTGAGTTTAAAATTTGCAAACTTTTTTACAAGAAAAAGTTTGCTAGAAAACACGGGAATCGCAAACTTTCTGTTTCACGAAGACCAGAAACTTGAAAGAAAACATCGTAATTACAAACCTGAAATTCCAGTGGTCCTGACGTTCGGAATTTTGATACTTTTTGTGCAATGATGCAAAGCAATCAATTATTTAAAACTGTCGTACTGGCGCTGTGGGTAGCGCGTGGCTGGACGGACGGTCTGTGACAATCTATTGATCTGTGGCTGATCTATTAGAGTGTCCGTCCGAGAGCCGTACGACGGCTGACAGAGCCTGGAGGTCGCGAACTGGTGTGGTAACCGTTACGCCCGCCTGGGACGCCCGAGTCGGTACGGCACTTGCGGTGTCGTAACCGGATCGGCGGGAACCAGCAGAACGCTGTTGGACCGGCGGTGAAAGTCGGAACCGAGCACTCGCCCACCAGTGGGGCGTCTGGTCGAGCAGGTCTACCCGCTAAGGCAGCCTGAGCACGAACCAGTGGCAGGGTCCGATCAATGACCGTGGTCCGACCAGGGTGTCAGCGCAAGGGCCAGTCAGAGGCGTCTTTAAGGGCGCAGAAGCCCACCTCGGTCGACTGTGGCCGGTGCAACCTAGTCAGGTCGTTTGTGTGAATCTCCGTGTTCTTCCTTCGCCTCAGAGTAGCCGCTCTTCTCCAAATGCCCGAGCCGTTTTCTATGTGTATTTGTCTTGTAGCGAACAGCAGAGTCGAGACACGAATTGACAACGTCGCCGAAAGCCGCGGTCATATGCTGGCCGTCCCTAGTACTACCAATATGCCCGCAGGCGCGGCGAGAGACAAGCTCAACGTATGAGTCACCGTCCGGCTGCCGGGAGAGCCCCTACCGCGACCTTTGTCCACAGTCATGACGTCACGACAATGGGCTCCTAAACGTACGGGCAGCGGCCGCCTCAGGGGTGCCGCCGTGACCTTTGCACGACACGTTCTATAGCGTATGGCACAGCGGTTACTAGGAAGGTTGAGGCCAGCGGCAGGCCGGTTTACAAATAACAAACATGACGCGCAATTGACAACAGGTAACAGATTGATTAATAAAGCGGTGACAATATAAATGAGAATGACAACATGAAATGACAAATCGCATAGATGATCCCTACAGTACCCCCTCGCCAGACATGTCGCGGACAAAAGTGACATGGCGATATCTTACCGGAGGTCGTATGACGCGGCCGGAGCGGGTCGTCCGTAGTATCGGCCGAGGCTGCAATGGTGCAGCGTCAGCCCGAGCGACGGCTGCAGGGCGAGTTGGTGCGTCACCGTAGATCAGAAGCTCCGGGCCGCTGGGCTCATTGCTGAGCGGTGGCGCGGCCGGCGGGCCGCTGG